GGGTCCTAGATAAAATAAAGACATTAAGTTTAGTTTTTGTCTCAAAACTTTTTTAGCAACTTACAGTGGTTTGTTTTGACAATAAAATTTTGTACTCTCTGACNGTCTCAAAACTCTTTTAGCAACTTACAGTGGTTTGTTTTGACAATAAAATTTTGTACTCTCTGATTGTGTGAAGAATAGCGAGTTTCAATTCAATGAGAGCAAATTGTTTAGCAATGCAGTTTCTGTAAGGTTAAAAAATGGTCAAGTTTAAAATTACAAACGTTTCCCCGTTTACCTTGGACCACTTCCAAACGGTATGAAAGCGTATTTGTGGTGTGTGGGATTAAGAAAACGTTCTGGTTTGAAAGAATCAGTTTCTGGAAATTGGTTCGCATCATGATGCATGGCAAAAATCGGAAACTGAATGACATCTCCTTCTTTCACTTCAAAGCTCACTCGACCATCGGCCGTCTGAAGGAGCATGTCTCTTGAGGCCTGTCGTTCGGTGAATGTTGCCGGTGGGTAAATGCGCATTGACTCATTGAGAACGGCATTGAGGTAAGGAAAACGTGATAAACTGTCAATGCTTATCAGATCAATAGGATCGAGAGACGATCCTGGTGGAGCCTCTTCTTGTAGTTTTGCCAGCATCTGAACAATCTCATCGTAAAGTTTTTCTTGAGCCTGAGAATGTTTTGCCAGTTGGTAAACAGCCATCGAAATTGCGCTGGCACTTGTGTCGTATCCAGCTGAAAATGTTTCAATAAGTATTTTAAACAGTTGTACAAAGTCAAAGAGAATATACTGACCGATAAAAAACATGCAGCATTGAACGGTGATTTCTTCAGTTGTTATGACTGAAAATAAAATCATTTAGTGAAATTGCTTATCATCGACTTTACCACGTACATTTAGATTTTTCATGTTCATTATTGTTTTGCAAATCTACTTCTGCTTCAAGCATCAACTCAATAAAGTTGCTTGCTTTGCCTTCTTTTTCTTTGGTGTATGCTGCCCGTTTATCTTTGAGAATTTTTGTCGAGAACTCACTGAAATAATCAATTGACTCTCCATTGAATCGGAGGCCCAGAAGTTTGGCAATTTTGGGAACTAACAATAAGGAGGCAACAATTAGTAAATTTCTGATTGAAAAGTCTGCAGAGAAGAGACGATGTGCATTGGTGATGACTGGGTGATTCTTCTCAGTGAGTGAGTCAATTTTCAGTCCGAATGCCACCTGCACAATTGAATCCATCGTATAGCAACCGTACAGACGCTTGCAGTTAACATCTTCTGACACCTGACGACACTTTTCCAAGTTTGATAACAACGTCCTCACAGTGTCGTCCATGCAGGGCTTCATTTGGCGCAGTTTTCCAGCGCTAAATGTGGGCGTGATGACGCTTCTCAGTCTCTTCCAGTGTTCTCCTTGGGCGGCGGCAATGTTTTTAGTAAAAAATAGATCATCACCCAAGCTGAAAATGCGTCGATTGGTAAAATTTGTGAACTCAGATGAAAATACAGTCTGCACAATTTCTGGTTCAGAAATGGATGTAACGCGCAACACTTATTCTGCGCGTTCTTTACGGAATCAGAATGTCTGATTCAGGTACTGACTGATTTGGAAAGGGAAAAGAAATTATTTTTATTATTCTTTATTATTTCTTCTGGCGT